CCAATCTTAAAGCCAAGACCAGCTGATCGATTTCGAACTTGATCACGACAACTCCGCCGAGTCTTACGAATTTGGCGGTCAGGAACCTTGAGTCACGCCTTCCTGCCCAGTCAGGCTGTCAGGCTGAAGTCACCCTTGCCTACCGCGGAGAAACACGGAGCTCGGCAGTCCATCGCGACATTTATCTGACGTCTGGCGTGCTCTCCTCTTTCTATGATACGGGTTTTTACTTCGACGATGGATGGAGAGCGCTGTTTGCAAAGATAAGCGTGTTCTAGGCGACAGCATTCAATGTGAGGGGTTATGGAGAACGCAAGGCACGATTGGGAGAAGGGTCCACCGAACAAGTTACCACCTCCAGCAGGTTCGATTCGAGTTTCCTATCCCTGCAAGGGAATGGAAGTTCCTTTGCCCCACGTGAATGTATTGGAGTATTATTGAGTCGTGAGTCAGAGGCTGGCCGAGGTGTAATGCCCTGTTCATTGGTTCGGATGCCAGTTCTCCTGCCCAGGGTTTAAGGGTCGAAGACGGCATGGTGGGATGCGGCCCCAGTGCAGGTGTTTGCCTGCTTGCCTGTTTTCCTTCTCTTTCCCTTCCTTTCCAGTGAATGAAAGTGTGATGATTTGTAGACCCGAGGCATCAAGTTTTTCGTAAAAATGGTATAGTATTACCCCACTTACTTTGACGAGCGCACACAATCAAGGTGTAAATATGTCATGGTCAACCAGAGATGAATATAGCACAAGTGATTTTTTTTTTTTGGAAGTATCGTAAGATTTGAAATTCTAAAAGGTATCATTTCTATCATGTTATTCATTAAATTGGATCGCTGATTTATAGTGACCCTGCCAAATCCTTCTGTACAAAACTTCCGTATGGAAGAGGGATTGACACGAAAATGCTTTTGCTGCGCCAAAAATATGAGATGTTCCCCGAGACCGAAAAAAAAATCTTGCCGACATTATTTCCCTAGTCGCGCCGACTAGAACCAAGACAAAGGCATGTATAAACTCGCTAGACATGAAAACGCCAAATTGTGAACGCCAGAGTAATGCAATGTAGAATAGACCAAGGACTTATGCTCATTGAGCAGTTGTAAGCTGGCTTTGCAATGCTGAAGATAGAGCCTCCTCTTGGCGCTTGCGTTCCATGTCCATCAAGTACTGGGCATATTTGGATCGAGGGTTGTGGATACCGCACTCAGTCTTTGCCTGGCCCTTCCAGCGGCCGGAACGCTCGTCTTCGTTCTCCTTGACGGGGGATGTAGAGTGGTAGTCACCGATGCTCTTGTATCCCCTGTCCAGAAGCACGTTGTAAGGAACATCATTGTCCTGAACATATTGCTTTACCTGGTCGAAGGTCCAGTTGGCAAGGGGGTTAATTTTGATGAGACCAGCCTCGTCGACCTCAATGATGTCCATGTCACCACGCTTGCCTCCTTGGCTGCGTCGTCGTCCCGTCAAGACAGCGTGGACGTTGAGTTCACGGTAGGCACGTTGGGCAGGCTCGACCTTGGCAACCCAGTCATAAAGCTGATCATCCTTTTCCCAGAGACGATCACCGTGCTTCTTGGCGAATTCAGCTTCGCTCTCAACGCCCTGGGGCTTGTAGACATGGATGTACTGTAGCGGATACTTCTTGCGGATGTTGTCGACAAGCTGGAGTGTTTCTGGGAAATGGTGGACTGTGTCGAGGAAGATGAGGTTGACCATCTGAGGACGTGGGATTTCCAGCTTGGATAGCATGTCCATGATCACCAAACCTGTAAGCCCAAACGCAGTGGTTTGGAACAGGTGAGGCAGAGACGTAACACACCATCTCAGGACATCTGAGAATGAAGTTAGATACCAAGACGAGACCAGTGGGACAGAATGAAGACACCAACCTTGAGGCTCGAGGAATTGGAGCTGTCGGTTGAGAAATTGAAGATGAGGCTTGGTGAAGACTATCTCTGGTAGATATTCTTCGCTTGAACCACCACTGACATAGCCTGACTCGGTAGTTGAGTCCCTCAAGTCGGTAGTCTCGGTGTCGGAGGGGTAGTTGGAATGCATCTTAGCTGGCATTGCGTCTTATACAGCCCTAGAGGAAGGTGTATGTGGTCGTAATGGGCCTGGTAGAGGATGATGTATGATTGTGGCGGAGGAAGTAGAGTAGTGTAGGAACCGAGAAGAGAGACAATGGCTCGTTTGATATAGAAGGAGAGCGGACAGGGGCGATCACGACATCTTCCGCAATGGGGGGCGCCTTTCCATAGCCCTCCTCCCTCATACTCCGTACATGCCGATTCATTCTGCCGTTCGCGAGCACGACATCGCCACTAACCGCCTGCCATATCGGGATTTAAGGTGAAAATTTTGATCTTCTAATCCTCCGGAGAAATCACGCAATACCTGCGTGTATGGTCTCTTCCGCCACCCGGAGTCATCTTCTGCCCTCAGAGTTTGGCAGGGTTGATGATAAATCCACCCATTCTGACGTGCTCTTGGAACCATGGAGAACTGTCCTCGGAGAAAGTAGGGCTTATGCAGCTTCCACAAGGGAGTCGATTAGAAATCGTTTGCCTTCCCATTGCGGGGATAACGCAGTAATGTACACCGTCCTCCGTATCTCGGAGGCAAGGCTGTTGACGATTAGCTATCTGTGACGAAAGCACAAGCAAACAGGTCATACACAACATATTAGTAAGGATAGAGCTCTTGCTCATCTTGTGTCATCCAGAAGATGCCATCATGGATGCGTAGTCCGGGTCTTGTCAGCGCTGGTCGTTGAGAACCCCCCACTTGAACTGAAGCCTTGACGATTCCAACTTGGGCGCTTTCTGCCTTGACAAGCAGCCGATGTTTGGCCGTGCCTGGCGGCCTGAGGCATCAAAACCACGTGCTCGCGATCGGTGCGGCCGTTGAGATCTGGAGGAAAGTTGAAACCAACTAATCAAAGCCTTTTGCGACTTCTGCATCCCATTCTCGCGCTACCAGAGGGAAAATCTCTCCCCACGGGCGGGTGCTGTTGATCCCTGCCGACCTTTGTGATCTGTCTCTGTCCCTCAAACTGTTCCCCCCGCACGAACCCTTCCTGCACCTCTCCGACATGTCATCGCCCAACCCCGCGGGAGCTCGTCCTGCCCGCCCTGTTTTGCGACAGGACTTCTCCAGTAGCTCTTTCATCCACGACCACCAGCAGTACAAGCCACCGGCACCCTTTACTCAGACAATAGGCAATGTGCTCGGAAACACTAATGAGCAGCCGCCGGCGGCGGTTGCCCGCAACTCGAATCCCATTTCTCCGGATCCAAAGAAGGTGACCGACAGTGGCATCATCCACAGTATCTTCCATCATCGCGAGGGCGTTCTCCCTCGAGGGACCCCGAAGCTGGTCGCAACTATATTCTACAAGTCTTCCGAGCCGGTGCACCCCCATCTACACCCCGATTCATCGCCCAATCCTCGACCTGGGGATAAGCTTCCTCACCCCATGGTACCTGTGGGCTCGGCCCCAACCATCGACATGGAGAAAATCCCACGCGAGCCTCCCGCGCCGGAACCTGAGCCTCTGGATCACCTATACGGCCCATATGTGTCACAGCTGTGCTTGACCAATTTCCTTCAAATTATCGAATCACTTCCAATTCCGTATCAGCGCATGACCACCTCGCACCGCTGTCTGGATACGCATGAGCATCCGCGCGTTGTGGAGGTCACTTTCTCGCCTCCTCCAAATCCAGATTATCTCAACTTCGACGACCTCCGTAAACATGAGAGTATATGGCGATTCGAGAGAGAATGGAATGTGGAGGTTGTTCTGCAGAGGGAGAGTGCTTTCCGCAGGCACAAGCGCTTGGTTGTTTTCGACATGGACAGCACTTTGATCAGGAATGAGGTGATCGACGAGATCGCTAAATTTATAGGCGTCGAGAAAGAAGTTTCCGTTAGTGCACTGCAATGTTTTTGTTTTGGTACGTGATCCTAACATTCAGTGGCAGGAAATTACCGAACGCGCAATGAATGGTGAGCTTGACTTCGCGGCGTCACTGAGGGAACGAGTCAGCCTGCTAAAGGGAGTGCCTGCGGATGTTTTCGAGAAACTGAAGTCAGTACTCACCATTTCCCCTGGTGCTAGGGAGGTGTGCAGAGCCCTCAAAAGGCTTGGCTGTAAGTTGGCTGTTCTGAGTGGAGGATTCCAACCACTTGCAGAATGGTTGGCTGGTGAGCTGGGCATTGATTACGCCTTTGCCAATCACGTACGTTTCAGCTCTCCCTTAGCTGACCCCTCACACCCCAATTTGTCCGTCTTCGTAGAGTATTCATTTTCACTAATCTCTGCCGTCCACAGCTTGAGGTTGACCCGACGTCGCAAACCTTGACGGGTAAACTTGTCCCAACATACCCGATCATAGACGCGAAACAGAAGCGCAGCCTGCTTAACTCCATTGCTGCGGATAACGGGATTGATATTGCGCAAACTGTTGCCGTTGGTGACGGTGCCAATGATCTGCTTATGCTCCATGCTGCTGGACTTGGAGTTGCGTATCGAGCCAAGAGCAAGGTGCAACTCGAAGCCCCAACACGCATCAACGGCGAGAGCCTAGTTGACGTTCTTTATCTTCTTGGTTTGAATGATGAGGACATCCAGGAGCTCACTGCGTAACTTTCACATAGAGAACATTCTTCGAGACTTCTGAAGGCTGGCTAGAACTGGTTATTCAACATTCTTTCTTATCTTGTCAGGAGCAGGTCTCTTACTTTCTTTCTGACTTGCCAGCGGGTCCTACTAAGTTTTCACGACCTCATAACTCACGATTCTTGCAGAATCTTGCGGGGGCACCGGCTTCTTTTCTTTTGGATTTACGGGCCGCGACCGCATAATTCTTAAATACTATTGCGAATATGAACTTCGTCTTAAGCTAAATGTAGGTGCAATTGGGACTGGTGGGGGTGGGCGTATGTATGTGATATATTCGAATGAATACCATGATGACTTATACGTGAAGAACGAACGAGCCAAACTAACCACCCTATGCCAAAATATCGGGGATCAAAATTATTTTGACGTAATAAATCTAGACTGAGGGTAAAGGGAAAACTTAGGTAGACTATTATTGCAGCTTATTTACGGAGTATAGGTCTATAATACTGATATTATGGGGTTATTGGGAGAACTCGTGTTGAACCATACCATCATATGTCCATGATACAATTATTTTGAACCATTACAAGACGCCTCAAATGACAAAGAATCTTCTCTCAGAATGTAAACCGATAATTGCTCTAACCATGCGCCAATATATGTTGAATGAATGAAATAGGAAATAACTACCGCGCTTCGTCGGCTGAGATGGTGTTATCGCTGACAGCCCCCTCGGGATTTCCAGCTCGTCTCTTCTTCAGGACGTTCTCGATAAAAGCCTCTCCAGCTTTGTAGCTACTCCGCACCAGAGGGCCGGAGGCGCAGTAGAGGAAGCCCATGTCGAGAGCACGCTGGCGCCAGAGTTCGAATTTATCTGGGGTCACGTATTCATGTACGGCCATATGACGCTTTGTTGGGCGCATATACTGACCAAATGTAACGACGTCAACGTTGACAGCTCGCAGCTGGCGCAGCGTATCCCAGAGCTGCTCTTCTGTCTCTCCAAGGCCCAGCATGAGCGACGTTTTCGTGATGAGTGATGGCTTGGCCTTCTTCGCGGCATCCAAGACACGAATTGATTGCTGGAACGTGGCTCGGCGATCACGGACAAATGGTGTCAAGGGTTCAACAGTCTCAACGTTGTGGGCGTACACATCCAAGCCAGACCGAGCCGTGATGGCAACCATCTCCGTATCCCCACGATAGTCACCAGTCAAGCACTCCACCAAGATGTTGGGTGCCTTTTGTTTGATCTTGATCACCGTCTCAGCAAAGTGGCGAGCACCACCATCGACAAGGTCATCGCGGTCGACAGCTGTCAAGACGACATACCCCAATCCCCATCTAGAAATAGCCTCCGATGTATTTTCCGGCTCGTGAGGGTCAAGCGGTGGCGGGGCACGGGAAGTCTTCACACTGCAGAACCGGCAACCTCGCGTGCACGTATCACCCATAAGCATGATTGTCGCAGTAGCGGAGGACTTGTCGCCGCCGCCCCAGCAGTCGGAGATATTCGGGCATCGCGCCTCCTCACACACAGTGTGTAGATTGAGACCTCGGAGATCTTTCTTAAGGCGCTGGTAGTTCTTTGAATCGGGAATCGGTGTTTTCAGCCATGATGGTAACCGGGTCATTTCCTTCTTGCGCCCGGCTGGTCCGACGAGAGCGGTTTTGAGGGCGTACGCTTCAGAGGGATCGAGGGGGGCATTGTCGCTTCCGCCACCAACAAAGTCTGTAAACGAGGGACCGGCATTGAGCTTGTCCGTGAATGTTGTCCGTTTCCTCGTAGTTGCTGTCGAAGCTCCGCCGGTGGCGGAAGAGGGATCAGTAGTTGCGTAACCACGATAGCTGAGGTAGGGAACGCTCCCTGATTGAGGGACCGCAGCCTTTGAGGAGCAAAGAGCTCTAAAGCGGTTTGTCGCAGCAGCCATGGTGGTAACTGCAACAAGAGGGTGTTGGTGTTGTTTGCGAGAAGGTGGAATTCCGCGGGAAACCGTCGCCGGTGATGAAAGCCCGCCTAGTCCGTATTATATAATCATGCCTCAGGCACCTAAGTTAACTTACCCGCAGACAAGCTAGCCGCGTGGTATATTCTACAAAGCAGGTAATAATACGATATGAAGTTGATGTGACTGGGTATCCGTATATTATTGATTCTAAATACTAAATATTGATGGGAGTGAATAATTATATATTAAACACTGTAAGTGTCGTACCCAACTTAGACGAATATCACTCAACAACCAGCGGGTGCAACAAAGGGAATAAGGAAAGAGATGGAGAGAGAGCTAGATTGTGCAATGGGAAGGTATAGGAATACGAAAATGCTGAAAGAATGACAGGAGCTCTAATCAAGACACAGAGGATCGCTTTGATATAGAGAAGAAAAAGGAAATGAAAATGAAAATGAAGGGATAGTGGTTTCCTGGTAAAAGAAAGGAATTAACGAATGTCTATGCTTTGGTCTCCAGGACCTGCATTAGAACTAGCACGGACGACTTGAGGGCCTCGTCATGAGGGCCTCGGAGTGTAAATAGAAGGTTATCCGCAATTCGATCGAGATCTTGGTTAAGTTTGCTGCTTCGAGATCCAAGCACCTCGTCCCGGATACGCAAAGGCGGAGCTTGCGCAAACTTCATTCCAAGAATTGAAGTAGCCTTCTCCGGCACCGTGTCTAGCTTTGAAACCTGGGCACGAGGCGGCCCATTAAGTGTTCTGCGGCACAGCGACGGCAAAGAGAGTAGATAGTTTTTCGCAATCAAAACAGCACAGAGAGAATCGAGAAGCGATTGAGGGGCGTCGGGGAATATTTGGCGGAAAGGGCGTAGTAGGGCCCGTTCGTGATTTTGACGCAGGAACATGACAACTGGAGAGGTAAGGCGGAGCATGTTCTGTGGAAAGTCTTTGACTGAGTGCTCTAGCTGGTCTATCGTCCACTCATGATCCCACCACTTCTCTAACTCTTCCTTGTCAGACCTTGTCGACGAGGCGTCGGAAGATGCATGTATTCGCGGCGACGGAAGGGATTTATGTGGATGTGGTTTTGGATTTGTCTCCGAGCTGTCCGCATTTTCTCGTGTTTGGTCACAGGTGATGGTTTCACTGGCGGCTTCTGAAGCGACAGAGCTCGAGTCTGTATATTCATCTTCTTTATCGTCACAATCTCCCTTTGAAGAGTAAGTGGAACTATGCGTAGAATATCCGCTGTCGGACATTTCCAGTGGCGTGTCAGGACTAAAGGCCGAAACCTCTGGCAGACTGTGATCGGGTGTGGCGGGTATGGTACTTGTCGGAGTAGGGAGCGAGTAGCTCATTGCTGGAGAGGATTGTCGAGAGATATCAACCAACTTAGGCTTTGTTTTGCTTTTTACCGCGAGCATCTGGCATGGAAATTAGTACGCTCACGAATTTCACCTGAAGACAGGTCGGACATACCGCATCATTATGTTCACGATTCCAGTCCGGAACGAACGGGCTCTTTTGAACAATTTGAAACTTCCTTCGATTAGAAACCTTGGATTTGCCGGCTTCCTTCTCTGCCGACTCCATTGGAGCTCCCTGGAGCCATGTCTCGCAATATGAGAGACTGCTTGGGACCCAACTACCCTCACTCGAGACTGTGCCAGACCTACTCCGCTCTGCCCTCGAAGATGATCCAGAAAAGTTCCTCACCCCTACCGAGTCTGTACCCGAGCAGGTTGCACGGGGTGACATACATCTTGAATCCGTTGTTGCAGGATTGAACTGCATATTGCCCAACTCACATTGTTTCACAAGGTTGGAATGTGCCATGTGTACATTGGTCGCCTCACCCGAGCACTCTTGAACGGATACGTCAGTTGCAGGTGTCTGAGGAGTGCAGTGTTGACAGGAAGCTGTTCGAGGATGGCAGGTACAGTCATCAGCTTCTCGATCGTTGTCAATCTCAGACCCTGGTTTCGAAGAGAAGTATGTAGACGCCAGTGAAGCCTGGGAGCGTTGAGTGTCAGATAATGGAGGACTCGGGAGAAGGCCGAATGTCTCTAGGGTCGAGGCCGTGAGGTTCTGGTCTGATCGCCAGGCTCGCAGTGTCCGAATTTCAGGAGGTCGTGAAGTGGTCGGTGACTCCCGAGTAGGAGCTGAACCATTCTCGAAAGAAGGGGATGCTGGGAGACGAAGTTGGAAAGGTTCTTTCATCTTGCGCACCGATCGAAAAGGTGAAATAGAGGTCGTGCCGCGGTCTGCTGAACGTCTTGGTTGCGATACGGTATACTCAGACTGCTCGGCGCGCGGAGATGTTGATCGGATGAAGGAGAGAGAGTTCTGTGGCTGCTGCCTCTTCCATGGTTGAACATTCGGGGAATACCGCGGAGAAGCTAGGTTACTGGGATGAGATGCCTGATCCTGGCCTGCTAGACTATAAGTTGGAACGCTCCTGTTTACGTATGTCGGGACGGGACTCGCGGTCACGGTGTGATGGCGCTGATGGCTATGAACATGCCTAGGGTGCCAGCCGGCAGCTTCGTAGTCCGCAAAGGACATGGCGAATACAAGTAAAGAGTCAAATGATATTAGAAATATGAAGTTCGCTTGTCGACCACGTAGTATGGGTGAACGATAGGGCGAAAATCAGAATTGAGAATTCCAAGCCAGTATGGGCGTAGACGCGGTGGAAGAGACCTTATACTGTTGAGTGGTTCAAATTACCAAACATCCCTTGGCCACCTTGCGGTGACAGAACGCCAGACATCGGGCATGCTAATCGCCCCCTTCCAGAGGAATTTTGGAACATGATCAAAGTCTAAAGGGCCGCTGCCCACCGTCCTTGCATTCCAGACAGAGGCAAGTCTGGATCATTGGACAGAAAGCCACAGAGAAACGTGGGTGATGGGCCTCTCAGGGCCTCTGCAGAGCGTCATCACAGAAGGAATGAGACACGCAGGATGCGCGCGAATCAGAAGGGGAGACCCCTCGAGGGGACATTGGATGGACGTCACGGTGCCTCGATTAAATCAAGCTGTTGCGCCGGGCAATCAAAAGTTGCAGCCCCTAGTTAGAGCCCCTTGCGTCAGTTGCTGTGGGTGCACTTGCATAGTGCCCATGCTTAGGCAGGGCGATTCAATCCAAGAGCATGTGCAAGAATTCCAACCGAGATGTGGCGGCTACAAATTGGGCCTCAGCTCTTTAAGAGCTTGAATTCCTCCAAGAGGCGCCCAATTGCTTCAATCCGAGCCGAGTTCTTGATGAAGGCCTGCCATCGTTGGTAGCAGAGCAAGCCAACTCCAGCAATGCTTTGCATGGTATAATCAGTCTAGCCGAATAGGATTAGCACTTTGAAAATGAAGGAGTTCAGGGATTCAGGGTCTTTCCCTTCCCCAGGGTTGATGTTGATCTGATGAAGCCCATTGAAACTATTTTATTGGCTCAAAAGGGAATGCCACGTGATCGAATACAAACACTGCAAACGATCTTATCGCAGAGCCAAAAAAAAAAAAAAAGATATGGGCCAAGATAGATCGAAGAACGTTCTGCGAAACGACCGACTTGAATCCCATAAAGCTCCCCATGCTATCAGAATGCTTTGTTGCGTCGACCTTGGCGTCCGCGAAAACGCCTGTCTCGGCGTCCCTAAGGGATGTCGGAATTTGTCTCCATGAGCTTCAGCCGTCATCGACCCTACGGTCCACCTTCAAGAAGAGCTCGACTGCACCAAATTGTTTGGCAGTGAGCGTGTCGCATGTGTTTGCTGCGCAGTCAGAAAAGGCAATTGTACATGTATATAGTAGGGAAAAGGGCAATCAGGAAGCTACTGTTCCATTTCCTGAGCGCATCCGCAGCATTGCCGTTGCAGGATCGAAGAATGGCGATATCGTGGTTTTGGGCACAGAGGGTGGCCGTCTGATTTTGTGGGAGGTAGGTTAATCCAATTGGCATCGTATGAATCAAGGCTGATGATATTCGACAAAGGTTTGCACTGGGCGCCAAGTTGCTTCCACAGCATCGCATTTACGTCCAGTTACCACCGTCGTGGTCGATCCCAGCTCGAACTTCATCCTCTCCGGCTCGTCGGATGCCAGTATCCATGTTTGGTCATTAGTAGACCTCCTATCTTTCACAAAACCCCCATCAGGCCGCGACCGGCAACCCCCGAACTCGCCTATCCGCACATTCTCTAACCACCGAGCGGGCGTTAGTGCTATTGTGGTGGGCCACAGCACTGGCAAATACAATATCGCTGTCTCTGCTGCCCAAGATAATACTGCTATTGCCTGGGACTATCGGACCGGTCATGTTCTACGGAACTTCCTTTTGCCGTCTAGTGCGGCTTCCCTTGTTCTCGACCCTGTTGATAGGGCACTCTATGTGGGCTATGAGGATGGCAGCATCCAGTCGGTAGACTTTTACAAGGACCAACCTACCCAGCATGCTCTTTATAATCCATCGCTGCAGGCAACTCCGGCGCAGGTGTCCTCGGAAGAACGCTGGCTGCCACCGTCCGCTGATAGCGGCACAGCGCATTCCCTGACTCTTTCTTATGATGGCATGACCCTGCTATCAAGCCATGAAAATGGCAAGGTTTATTCCTGGAATGTTGGAAGACGGAAATACGCCTCAACGATAGCGGAATTGACACATCCGGCCACGAACGTTATTATGCTGCCGCTCGATGGCTTATATCAGCAGGCTACCAATCTAAAGCGAGTAGCACACACTATAGTCAAGCCAAAATACGACCATACCCTTTCAGAAAATGCACAATCCGCAGGCACCGTTCCTGCAGACTACGAGTTCAACACACATCTTCTATATTCATTACCGTCCAGGGAAACACCTGCAGGGCCAGACTGGTTTATGGATGCCTTCTCTCACTCTTCATTCCCCACGTCCATGCTAGAGCAAGGCCTATCTGAACTCGCTGCCATGGGTCAACCAGGATCGAATCCAGTATCGGCTCCTTCGATGGACGCTGCAATGGATGTTGACAACCCTGCGAAGGATTCCCAAATCGCTTCTCTAGAAACCGAGATCGCTACTCTGAAACAGAAAGCGTCCGTGAGCGATACAGCCCGGCAGTCCACTACTGATGAAATTACACGACTCCGCTCAGAACTTGTCAATCTCCACGACTACATCAGCGAGCTCAATGGGAAACAGGAGCAGTCACATCGGGAGAAGGTCCGACGGGAAGCACGCAAGGAGGAAAGGGCAACCCGACGACGGGAAGCCTGGTTTGCGGCAGAGAAAAAAGGGAAGAACGGTGATTCTGTACTTCGCCGAATGGAAGTCGAGGACTCTGAAACGAGTGGCACCGACGATCAAAGCAGTGACGAGCAATGATACTTCTCTCCGTTACGTCATTCTACGTCCTTCATTTCGTTCACGTTTTTTAGCTGGTCGTATAATTAGGAGCGTCTGGCATGTTTCAAGGGTCTCCGAAGCACGATACTACATAGGACATGGGTAACATTCCACGGCGCAATGGGTTAAAAGTTTGGGTTGAGTATAGAGCTCCAAGTATGATTGGACTACCTAGCATATACACGGCGAATAATAAGACAACGTTGTATGCGGCGATTATAATTAGCTGCCATGCAGTGTTCACTTCACGACTCCCTTCATCCCTTGATCCCTATATCAACCAAGCCGGCGTAAAGTGACATCTCAATATTGCACATTCCAGGGCCGTGTCAGAGGGGCCTTTTTACCCAATAAAGCAAAAATCACGGTTTAAAGCGTTTTTATCCCGACTACAAATTCCGAAAACGTTTCAGCGTCTTATTAAGGGACACACCCAACGGCTGATGCCTATACTCCGTACCATTGGCATGGTGCGGGTATATCACTTGGGCCTCTTGTAAACTCGGCCACTGTTGAATTTAAACTAAAATGGTATACATGGCATGGAGAAGCTCAATTACTAACTTCGCAGACCGTTTTATGTACATGGTTAAAGTTGAGAGAATGATATCAGTTCTCAGTACCCACCGCTCGCACCCCCCTGCTCTTGCACCTCACCCTCCAACTCCTGCACAATCTTGACTCCTGAACTCGCACCAATGCGCTCTGCCCCGGCTTTCAACATATTGATGCAATCTGCTGCAGAACGTACACCGCCACTCGCCTTAACCTTCGTCCCCTTACCCACAACCTTTGCCGTCTCATACATCAAGGCCACATTCTCAACCGAAGCACCCGCACCATTAAACCCAGTGCTTGTCTTGATGAAATCCGCCCCAGCCAAGCAGGAGATAACAGACCCGGCAATTATCTCATCCCGAGTCAACTGCGACGTCTCTAGAATAACCTTCAACCCAATGGGCGCCGGAGCGGCCTTGCGGACACCAAGGATATCCTCGTAAACATCCATGTACTGCTTTGTCTTGAGTAGCGGGTACTTGAGAACCATATCGAGTTCCGAAGCCCCCAACTCGACAGCTTTTCGTGCCTCGTTTTCTTTCTCTGAAGTCTCATACATGCCTTCGTGGAAGCCGACAACACAGGCGACGCCTACCTCGGGTGCCTCGCGCAGCTTCTTCACGGCCTGTTCAACATGGCCTAAACGAACGCATACTGTTGCGAATTGGTACTTCGAGGCCTGATCACATAGTTCGTTGATTTGTTCTTCTGTTGCTGCTAGTCCTAACTGGGTGTGATCAATGGTGCGGTTGATTTTGGCAGGTGGCGTGGCTTGTTGCTCTGAAACGTTTGATAGCGAGCTTTGGATTGTGGAGATGAGGGTCTCCCACTCCGCGTCGTTCTTGGGGACAGACATAGTGAGGTCGAGTCTTTTCTCAAGTCTCTCCGAGAAAGTAAACAAAACGTAGAAGAACACAAATCCCGACAGGTCATTGACAGCCCCTCTTCCTGCGGAGAACGCGGAGTAACCCCACGTGATATCTAGATCTAGACGGACTAAACGGATTTTGTGTATTCGCAGGCCGCCTTAACAGGATACACGGGGCATTATACTACTCGAATGATTGGCAAGACTCGCGGTGACCTCGGTAATAGTTCGGACATAACTATAAAGAAAGACTGGGAGCAGAGATCTACATTACAGGCCATACAGGCTGTAGTCGGCAAGTCTCCAATTCAGGTTCACAACAGGAAAATACAATAGTGTGTTCGAATGGCGACGTATTCTACTAACAGCAATTTTATTCAACTTGGCAAAATGTATAAAAGTCGGGTATCGATTATGCTTTGGCCTCTCCTCCACCAACGATGAAAGACTGCGCGAGTCATCTCCCCCGATTTAGGTGAAAGTGCCGAACACCATGTCTTGCTCGTTCAATAGGCATTGACCCCTCAGCAGCATGATCCTTTGCATGAGCCTTGAATGTCATCCACCTTTCCAAACTTTCCTGAGCCAAATGATCCAAAACCGCCGCCGCCACCGGGGCCACCACCTCCACCTCCACCACCTCCTCCCCCTCGCGGGCCCCCAAAGCCATTCCAGCGAGGTCTGGTGTTGTCCTTGTTTTCGGCTCTTGTGACGTTGAATGGTGAGTTCTGGGCAGCCTCGTAAGGGTCAAGCTGGGATCGAACTGTCAGCAACAATGTCGAGAAGGGATGGAAGAGATGGGATGACTTGGGGAAGACCATTCAAATAAACATACCGCGAAAAAGCTTGTGAAGTAGAGCCCAAGGAACAGATAGATATTTTCCATAAAACGTCTTATCTGGACGGAAACTGGAGGACTGTGGATAAGAGACGATATCATTAGTGATCGGCGCTGGTGGGAAAGAGCATCACTGCGGCGGGGGCGATGCGGTTTTTTACTCACGCTTGGAGTATCTGCCCATTATGTAGATAGACGCCGGGCTTCGAGGATGCTTTCGATGATGCCATGATTAATATGCAGTTGCGATGGAGTGATGATGGATTAATCAGTGGCTAAGTTGCAAGTTGGGGGAGATGACAGAAAGACGCCGGGCTTGGCGTTGGCGGGCCCGTGACTCTTTGTTCCTATTACTACTTGGGATGTTATCATAACGTACAATGAATGAGATAGCATCAAATTAGCATGAACGGAGATAAATTTCAATAGATAAATTTTCTAATTCTAGACAGATCTATATGGGTATCATAAACACTTTTCTGCCTGCTAACATGCCATCATGAATTTAAGCTGTCGTTGATCCTCGGACCTTCGATCGTGTCTCGTAACTCGTCCAAATCCCGGAAACCGTCTTCAACAATCCATTTCTGACCATCAGTCGGTTTGTGAAGAACATGGCAGCTCGCCCCAACTACAAGTAAGCCAGGTGGCCGCGATCCCTCAGCCTCAAATGCTTGGCAGACATGCTCGAGTGTAGAACGTATCACTCGCTGATCACTGCAGGAAGCACGTTCAATGATGGCGCAAGGTGTTTCTCTTGGCCAGAGTTGTCGCGGGCGCGGGGGATTGTCACATTCTTCCGCGATTGGATTGGTTAGAGAGTCGATAAGGGTGGAAAGTCGGTGCAATGCCATCAAAAAGACAACTGTCTGTGTCGGCACATAGGTTGGAGGATCTGGTGCTGCACCTTTCCTTCCAGTGCCTGTGCATACCAAGACCTGGTCAGATACTCCTCTGTGAGTTGCAGGGATCTCTGCAAACAGGGGGGCGCTCAATGCACTGGTGATGCCGGGTAATACAACAGGCGTAAAGCCCTCGGCGCGGAAAAATTCAAGTTCTTCTCCTCCTCGCCCATAAAGATATGGGTCACCTTGTTTAAGACGTAGTACCTGGCGACCTTTTTGAAGTGCATCCAAGCCCATGCGGAGAAACTCCTCTTGAGCTTGGTCAGCGTTTCCTGGAAATTTTCGCGCAATCCGAACCTCTGTTCGCCGCGGGATCAGTTCTAAAACAGGTGCCGGCACAAGTTTATCGGCTAGGATGATGTCTGCGCACTGAATAGCATTATAGGTTGCCCGTGTGAGCAAATCAGGATGCCCTGGACCTGATCCAGCGAGAATAATTTTGCCCTTGCGCTCAGGTAACTGGACCCCATTCGTGTCAGAAGGATTCGTATTCCCTGAGCTGTATTCTTGAAGTATGTTATCGATGTCCGAATCGTTGATGGCAGCGAGCTTGCGAAGTGGCCAGTATTCACAGATCTGAGACAACCAGCGCATGCGGCGAGTTTTTGCGGCGTTAACGTCGTCATTTGTGACCAAATTATTGAAGGTGTGCTTTTGTCCAGTTGAGTCGTCCTCATCAACATCAAAGCCCGTATCACACAGGCCCGCAGCAAAGTCTTCTTCCCAGAGACGCTTTCTGGCCGTTCCCAGTCTGTCTATGGCACTCCCGAGGTTTGGAGGAAGTGCTGACGATATTTCTCTCTTCAGTCGCGAGCCTAGCTTGCAGCCCCGGCCGGAAGTCGTAATTCCGACATGAAGCGGGCCATCTGAGTAGGTAGACAGCAAGCTGAAGGTGCAAAGAGCTGGAGCATCGGATACATTAACCGGGATCCTGAGGCGTCGGCATAATTTGGAGATATGAGAGCCTGTAAGTAAAGTTAGAGAAGGTCACTATGAAATGACATTGCACTGTACATACTCAGAGGATGACTCCCACCAAGGGTGACAAAGACCATGTCCACGACGTGATCAACCTCTTCCCTCCCTAAGGTCGTTAAATCACCATCTTCAAATTCCCTTTGAATCCATTTTGCAGGCCCATTTTCAATATGTGCTGCTAAAGTATATTGCAAACTCTCTGAGCCAGGCGAGATGACCACTGGCTTTGCGCCTGCTTGCACACTTTTGGTGCAACGGGCTGCAGCAAGAGGATTAGCCCCAACAATCAAATGCACCTGGGAGTCCGCGTTTAATGAAGCCAACAGCGGGATTTGCGCTGGGTTCTCTGACGATGCGTCCTTCATTGTGGAAAGCTATCACCCGAGTCCCGACTTGGCGGCCCCGGGGAATTGTTCAGAGATGATTGAAAGTGATGAGCAAATGTGGTGAGAGTGTCAAGCGCCTTGAGCGATTTCTATCTTCTTCTTGTCAAGCAGGGCGTCGAGCATGAAGCATTTAAAAAAGCCGCCAATCTCCCGGTACTGACTCCGCGGAAATAAAATAGATCAAAGCCAATTGGTTGAGAGGCAAATCGAGATAACGGTGGCTTTGAAGACGTTTTGGATAATTATTATTCGTGATGATGATCAGTAGATAAGCCTATCGTAGGCTATTGAGAGGTCTCAACATTCAGAAGATCAGAAGATCAAAAGCAACTGGAAATGACTCCATTCAGTGTGGACTTTTCCCTTGTCCTTGTAGATTTTATACATTCTTCCGCCCAAAGCAGTTAAAACGATGGCGTGATCATGGCAGCTTATCTAATTTGATGCCTTGTTTGTAAGGCTGCAATATAGGGTTGATTCCGCTGTGTAGAGAGGAGGTCGGCAATAAAGCCGCCGCTTGGGCTCCATGAACAAACCAGGCGTCGTTCATGATAAATGGATGGTTTGTACAGTTGGTTGAGATTTTATTTGTCGTACAGCACCCAGTCGGGTGCTCATTCAGCCATAAGCTGCGACGTAAAACTGGCTGTTCCACATGGCGTAGGAAGTAGACTCAATATGGAACGCACAAACAAAATTTATAATACCTCAGGGCTTGATTGAGAGTTGCAAATGTGATCCCTAGATATACACATGAGGGGTTTGCACAGGGTGAAGTTGATCCCTTTGTTTGGACTTGAGCCGAGAGGACAACCTGCTCACGTGATGTGGAGCTTCGGCCAGCTCGACTGACGCCGCAAGCTCCAGATGCAATCATATCTCATCATCTTCTCCAACCTCACAGCCCATCATATCCACAAATTCCTGGGCGGGTTAATATTCTCTTTCTCACCTCCTGATACATACCTCTCTTCCTCCCATTTCCTGCTCCTGATACCGCCGCAAATCAGCGATTACCATCATGTCCGACGGACTCTTCAAGCCGGAGAAGGACTTCTCCAAGGATGCTGACAAGCTGATTCCGGAGGCGGAGCAGTTAGCAAAGGTAGAATCTATTGATTCCGTTGATTCAAAGGGGTCTCTATACTAACTACTTGGTAGACTGACGTCCAGGGAGCAATCGACAAGCTGCTAGTGTTGGAGAAGCAAGCCAGACAGGTATGACAGTTCCATCCCACTAATACATAATTGTCGTATTCTAATTGCCGTGATCTCATAGTCAAGCGACTTACCCACCACATCTCGATTACTCATTACTATCGTCACAATCAGCAAGAACTCCGGCGACTGGAACCTGCTCAACGACCAAGTCCTACTCCTTTCGAAGAAGCATGGCCAGCTCAAGCAAGCCATCACAAGGATGGTACAGACGGTGATGAAATATTTGGATGAGACGCCGAATCTGGAGACCAAGCTATCAGTTATCCAGGCCCTGCGAACCGTCACGGAGGGAAAGGTCAGTGCATAGGCAGGCTTTATTCCGTCCACCAAGTTAACGTACCTCTCAGATTTTTGTCGAAGTTGAAAGAGCTCGGGTCACACGGATCTTGTCCCAGATTAAAAAGTCCCAAGGTGATTTGAACGCCGCTGCCGACATTCTCTGCGAATTACAAGTCGAAACTTTCGGATCGATGACAAGAAGGGAGAAGACTGAATTCATTCTCGAACAAGTCGCACTCTGTATTGAGCGTGGTGATTGGACACAGGCGACAGTTCTGAGCCGGAAGATCAACAAACGATATTTCGCCCGCAAGCCGAAGAAGAGCCCGGAGGAGATTGAGAAGCTCAAGAAGGAGGCTGAAGAAAGAGAGAAGTCCCGGGGACCCGACGAGCCTCCCATGGAGGTGGATGACGATGTCACGGATCTGAAGCTTCGCTACTACGAACAGCAGATTATTCTTGCCAACCATGATTACAAGTACCTGGATGTTTGCAAGCACTACAGGGAGGTGCTTGATACTGATTCGGTACAAGAAAACACAGAACAACTTCAAGCGGTAAGCTCACTCGTCTTCTGTCAACCATCTAAGTAGTACATGCTGATCTGCCACTCAGGCTCTCGCGCGAATTGTATACTATATCGTACTGTCGCCATACGACAACGAACAGTCCGATCTATTGCACCGTATCCAACAGGACTCAAGGCTCTCCGCGGTTGCTGTTGAGGCTCGCTTGGTAAAACTGTTTACCGTACCCGAACTCATGCGTTGGCCCATTGTTGCGGAGCAGTTCGGTCCTCATCTATGCGATACCGACGTCTTCAAACCTAAGCCGAGTCAGTCCGCGGAAGACCAGCCATACAAGAGGTGGCAAGACCTTCGCAAGCGCGTCATTGAACACAACGTACGTGTGGTGGCGAAGTATTACACCCGCATCCAAATGGGGCGGTTGACCCAGCTTCTGGACCTGACCGAGGAGGAAACCGAGAAGTACATCAGTGAACTGGTTACCTCGAAGACCATCTATGCGAAAATTGACCGACCTGCTCGGCTGGTCAACTTCGCCAAACCTCGCGATGCAGATGACGTGCTGAACGAGTGGAGCAGCGACATGAAGAATCTGTTAGGCCTCCTAGAGCGTATTGACCATCTCATCACCAAGGAAGAGATGATGGCACGCATCCTCCCAACCCGGGAGAAAGCCAAGGCTCGTTAATGCTCAGACGATCAGGAACGTGAGGGGATGGTAGCATATAACGGGTGTACAGCTATGCAATAGTAGAAATGAAAATCATCCGCATGATTAGCACTCAACTGCTGAGCGCAAATAACTTCGTAATCATATGTACTCTGTATATCTAAGAAACCAAAAGCTCTATAGGTATAAGTCAAAGCCGCCAACAAATCCAGATATAAGAAGACCCAGCAACCCGATACCTTTTAGAAAGGCACGTCCATATCGTTAACATCTTCCTCCTTCGCGGTATCTTTGCCCCACTGCTGCCCTCCTTCCAAAAGCTCCCTAATAAACTTCACTGCGGCGTCCAAGTAAGGTCTCTGACTCGGCAAAAAGTGGCCACCAGGATGCCAAACCACCTTACCCTCTTCCTCTGGATTCCCAGCACAAGCATCTATCAAAGCCCTACTCCTACTCTCTTCAACCACAGCATCCAACGACCCGAGCACGTGCAATATAGGCGTCTGAATCGGCGGGCTCTCATAAAACGCTCTATACCGATCCCCAGGTGACCGAAACCCACTATAACACAGCGCAAACTTAAATGCCGGATGATTCAACTTTGCAAATGATTCCGGGTATTTGAACCCCTCAACACCCGCTGAGAACGAAGCAGACGGCGCGAACTGCGCAAACGCATCCTTCCTCTTCGACCCCTCCAATAGCGAAACAACCATCGCAGCCATCGCAGCGCCCTGCGAAAACCCGATCACGCCGTCAAATGGGCCCTCCTCGCTGAGGACCTTCGCGATTGCATCGAGCCCATCCTCGAGACCGACATAGAGTGGTGGCTCGGCGGTGTTTGAGCGTCTGTACCATCCAAATGATTCAATTTCGCTCTCCTCCCCCGAGCCAGAGCCTTCTTGTGGTGTGTAGCCGGGGATATCCGCGGGGTTAAGGCGTAAAGGACCAGTGGGATATATAGCAGCAATCTCGTGGAGGGGGAAGGCCTTTGTTATATGCTTTATCAGGGCGCGGGATTTGGCGTGAAAGAGGGGTCCAGACTGGGTGTAGCCATGCAGCATAAGAAGTTTTAACGGGGGGCGGGCGGCCATTTTGGATGAGATCGACGAGAAACGCTGTTTATAGGGAAACTAAAAAGCGATAAGGCCACGAAGGGTAAATAAAAAGAGAGTATGACTTCGGTGAGGTGCCTTGGGGTAAATGATGTCTGAGGGTACAGTTTTGTCGTTGGTCTGAGCTGCAAGATAAGATAACGCTTGGCTGGGACTGACAGTCAATCCCGACAGCGAAAAGAGGACCACGTTGGACGACCTAGGTGAATAATGTTCGTGTACAGTTTTGCCAAACACCGATATTGCACTGTCAAGAACTTTGCTAAATCTCCTTAAGTTTTGGGGCTAACCATCCTCCCTGAGACGGGTATAGTAGTAAATCACGACTACAGCAGCAAATGGACCAACATGCTGTCTTCGAGTTTTTCCATATGAGCACGGATACGTTAGAAAGGATAGCCCGTCCAATTGCTTAACGGGAATACAAAATGATTGGCCGTCTAGCTTATTGCTCTAATGCCTACAGTTAGAGAAGCCACTGTGGACCCCGACCCCGGGGCCCCAGACAAAAAAGAATACAGGCTAAGCGTTGTTGACGGGGTGTACGGATACTAAGGTGGATGTGGATACTACATGCTACGCTTCCAGGATACTGAGGTGCATCACTGCATATAGGTGTACAATTCACTACTGCGCCTAGGAGTCACGGCTAGGGCTACTTACAGACCAAGTTCAGCAATCCCAAGAGAAATACTGACTCAGACGGTAATGGAGTCCAACGCGTCCGCTTGAGAGCACATGCCAAAAGTGATTATTCACCTTCGCCAGAGGAGGATTTGTCGCCCCTATGCCTTCTGGTATCTGAAATTCGCTTCGTTTGGCAACGGTTCCGGCGGACGCGCTCGCTGTGTACATCCCATAATGCGCAAAACCCAGTACGTTCGTTCAAACAACGATGTACAAAAGGAAAAAAAAAAAAGCATAAACACAAGAAGGTGAGAATAAACTGGTTTTTGACGGAAACAAAGCAATAAGTTGACAGAGTGTGGACCGATCAAGTGCCAGATATCCGGAACTCCCCTCAATGTGAAGAAAACGCTTTTTGGTATTGAACGGTGATGTGAGGTGTAAGAACATTTTTCTCATTGCCCATGAGTGTTGTAGGGGTTTCTCGCAAGGGGCGAGGATTCCATCTTCTATCTGATGTGCTTTCTCAAAAATATAGTATTAATCCATCATCATCGAAAAACGCCACGTTGCAATCGTCATCGCCCAACTCCGTTGTCGAGACGTTTACTTTCTGCGGAAAGAGCAGCCCTCGGTGAGACGGGCCTTACCACCGGTGGGTTGGCAGAGGACGGTAGAGCAGCCGGAGCACACAACGACGGTCTGGGCGTGAGAGAAGACGGTGGTGATGTTGAAGCAGCCGGGGCACTTGACGTCCATGAAGAAGGAACGGGGAGCAGGCACAAGTTGCTACTCGAAGAAAATTCCACCATTAGTTGTCGAGTACCACAATTATCCAAATTCGACGCCATCATACCTTAAGCTTGTGCTTGCGGGCCTCAGCCTGAGGGGTGGGGTTGAGAAGGTCGACCGCGAGAACCTATGTGAAATAAGTTATTAGCGAACCGTATTCTTGTATATTGACAGGATTTTTCATGACGCCGCGATGATGCACCGTGGAGCGACGGCGATGGCGACCACGAGAGCACAAAATCGATCGACATTCCACGTAGCTAGAATCAACGGGGGTCTGGGGAGAATAAAATAGTCGAATTCAACTTACCATCTTGACGAGACAAAAAAGTCGATCAGCGAAGAAAGTTGAGATGGAGCGCTGATGAGATGGCCGGCTTGGGTGTGAAAGCAACAGGAGAGGTCTCGTGGAGATGGCGAAGATTGAAGCGAATTCTCGACGGGGGGTCCCCAGCCGGCCCGTTTGGGGCTTCCGTAGGGTTCAGCCCTCGCTAACACTGTCCTTGCCAATTCCAGCGGGTTCTAGCAATGACCGCATAAATTACCTAATTACGTGCATATGTTGCATATCTTTCGCATAATTTCTCCGCTCGTGTCTGGAACACTGTACACCGTACGCATAATAATTAGTTATCGAAACATTTATTATTAATATTTTACTCTATCGCTAACGTAATGCGCTTGTACATAAGACATGATAAAACAATACGGGCATATAGCTGGAGCCAGCCCAACTCCAAAATATTTGATCCGCCAGACAAACTGAAGGCGAAATTTCTAAAAAGCAGTGGCTTTCTCTGCGAGGCTTCACATAGTTGATATGCGATTGGGTGCCTCAAGTTTCGATCTAAAGTGTCTTCTTGGACGCTTGAAGGACATCACCGTTGGCGGCCTGCTCTGGAACATACGGGTGCTTGATGGTTAAACACCAGATATCAATGTAGTCGCAGATGGTTGTAATAATGTCATGCTACTAATGTTAGCGGATCGAAATTATTCAATGTAGATTCGTACTCACCACGAAGCTTCCGTAAATACCAAGACCTAGGCCCAAACAGAGGAAAACAAACGCGGGTTGTCCAATGGTGTCAATAAAGGTTTTTGGCCAGACACCAAAAAGAGCACCGGCACTGTCCACCACAGCCAAGGCAAGAGGTCCAAGAAGGATGTTTGAATAAGGGAAATCTGCCTTGACCAGGTGGGCACAGATCATTCGACCAACAGAGTAAGCGTTGACCAAGCCGACATACAATGCAAAGGGAACCATATGGTTCTCAAGAATGGTCGGGTTGAGGTACAGATATGCTGGTACAAGAACCCAAGTCAAGACGAGAGGAAGGAGACCATACAGTGGCTGGAGGGGATCCTTGCCACGCTCCTTGCGAACCTGGACAACGTGCGCGATGCTCGAGCCTGTGGCGAAGAACAGCATAATCCCGCCGTAAATAAGATACCACTGCGTGAAGGGCATTTCATAGAGCTGCGCAGGAATAAACCCGAGTTTAGGAACGCCAACCGTCTCGAACATGGGTTGATGCCAGAAGCTTCCGCCCCCCATATATGCGGTGAATCCAAAGACAACGCAAAGCGTCAGCACGCCTTCGACAGGACCGGAAACAATCCCCAAGGTCAACACTTGCGTGTAGTACATGTCCCAAGTTTGGACGTAAAAGGTCATGGTAGCTATAACATCACATTAACATCCACATCATATCTAACCATGGGGTTTGCATACATCCAAAAAGAGTCAAAACAGTAGCCCACGACTGGCCGAGATTCATAATCGCAGCGAAAACTACAACTCCCAGAGCCGTGTTACACGCGTCAACACCTGCAGAGGCGCAGATTTCAGTCAGAGCGCCTCCGATAGAAGGGTTGTTTCTACTTACTGTGATCAAAAAGCTCGCCCAGAGGACCACTCTGCTTAGTTCTCCGCCTAAAAGGCGATGTTAGTGTCAATCCGCTATGAAGCCGGGAGCGGGAAATCGTACGCCTGGATGCCATCTACACCATCAAAGGTTTGGTACAAAAATAATCCAACGGCGCAACTAGCATAAACCCATGGCGGGCAGTCTTGATCGAGAGTCGGGCTGTAGTATAAGACGGTGAAGAAGTTGATCAAAACGAAAAAGAGGCCTGTTAAGGTAATCTACCGGCCAGGTTAATTGTCGCGCTTTTCATTCAAGGTCTGAAGCTCATTGAGGCCATGTTGGCACCCATCTATCTGCTCCATGTTGTCGCCAGGGCTTGGTTTTGACGCATAGGGCTGAGAGACTATATTGAACTTACAGCATTAGGTCTAAATAAAAGAAGGCTGTCAGTCGGGCCAAGCACAAGACACAACCAGCATTACTACTCACGCCATGCTCATAGGGAAGCACTTGATCACAAAGTTATTATAGAACGGCTTAAGGACATATCGACTTATAAGCGACAGGTCAACTCCCGCATAACGATAGTCCTTCAGGTTTGACAGCTGGTATTGCCGGATGTACACCATCTTGGCAGAGAGGAAAAGATGCCGCTTTTCAACTCCGGTGGATTACGATAAAAGGGTGTTTATAATAATCTTCTTTATGTGACGGGCTGGATGGTTGGGGGTCGGTTGATCTGTCCGCAGTCGATCCTCGCGGAGGGCGAAGAGCGCGACAAGGGTAGGGTAGGTATGTAGATAATAAACAATTCGAGCAGTTCAAGGGTAAAAAACTTGACGAGATGCGCTTCCAACAACAATCAATCAGGGAAAGAGAAAGTAAGAGAGGAAAGTTCTGCAAAGTGGTCGGAAAATCTCCCGTGGCCGCGACGCCTTTTGTCCAGGAACCCAAATGCTCTTATTTATGCGATACTTTTTTCTGCCGGCGGAAAAGCGCTCCTTGAGGGCGGCCACGAATACCGGAATACTTTTAGATTACAGGAAGTACGAAGAATGTCACAGAACGTCATTTCCCAGCGCTGGCCTACCAGATTCGTTTGTATTCGGCGTATGGGTGGGTATCGGCTGACCACGTGCTGGTACCCCCAACGAAAAGGACGAACTAAGTTGGGATTCCGCCTTTCTCCATGCAAGTGGAATGCCTTCAAGGTTAATAACACGCCGATCATGGCAGAATAGATTAGCTGGCAAGGTGGGGTGTCCCTGCAAATGTCCGTTGACAGTTATCCGAGGTTGCCATATGACGCCAAAGCGCGGAGTTACGAGTCTGCCTAATGTACGGGAGGATGGCTTGTACGCAATATCATTTGGTAAGGCTGGCGCCGCCGCTTAACGTTACGGGAACGTCAAGAAATGAGGCAGATGCATATAATTGTTGAGATTGGTGCACTAAATACATGCAGTGGGCAATTTCAAAAGCGCTAATATGCCATCTTTCATACACTAAACGGTCCGCCAAGTAAAGGTGGACAGAAACATCGATCTCGTCCCAGAAATGCGAGGACCCGAGGAAAAATCACATTCACTTCCTCCTGGCGGTTATGCAGACAAAGAGACTTCTATTACTCTGGGACGACTTACTGCCGTCACAACCAGCCAGCCCATGTCACTAGTATTCTTCCATCAAAGGGTCTGGGTTGTATTGGCCACGCTGCGAAGCTAGACTTTGCCAGATCGGTTCCAAGCTTAACCAACAGGGCTCCATGGCATCGGAATCAGAATGCGGCTCTGCATAGTTTGAATGAGCGGAACGGTCTTGTGCACGGTCTCGGCCCAGCCTTCAATGCCCCAAGATTGCTCTCGGCGGACCTTGCGCTCCTCTAGATTCGCAAACTGCCACAAGTGGTGCACCGTGTTCAGGTCCCCGATTTGGACGAACCAAGCGCCAACGCCTTCCATGACTTCGCGGCGTGCCTTGAGACCGCGGCGCCAATGAGTTTCCCATTCTAGGAGATTTCCGGGGTGGAGGGTATAAGACCGGAGCTCAAAAAGACCTCCCAGGCGGCGTGGCGGGGTTGTAGGCCAGAACGAGAACTCCTGCATCAACGAAGTTTTCTTGCTCTTGATCAACCCCTTGAGCTTACGGTCGAATTCAGGGAACTCTGGATGGCACGAAATGTTGTGAAGAGAAGCATGATAACCTTCATACCGTTGATACTCCCAAATATGGACTGCGGAATTATCATTAACATCAACCACAGGAGCCATGGGAAGGGTCGGGTAAGGTATAGATACCAAAAGTCTCGTTGTCTCCCACTTGCGTTCGCCAGCTTCCCACCAGATTCACACGGTTCTCTTCCGTGCCTGCCATCCGAGGGTACCACTGGCCAACAAGGTCAACATATTCGTCTACTCTGTCTGGTTTCACTTCGTGGAAGACGATGGAGTGGACGTATTTGCCACGCGCAAGGACTTGCGAAAACGAACGCTCGATATCTTTATCGAGCTGCTGGCCTTCTTTCGTTCCGTAAATCAGGGATGAGAGCGGCCCGCGTTTGGCAGATCGGTTGGCTTCTAAATTGTGTTCGTCTCCTAAAGAACGGTGGGTAGAAAGTGAGCCCAATGCTTGATTATCAAGAACATCGGCGGCATCAACGATGGGACTGTTTTCATCGCTCGCGTCGCCCTTGCGGGGGGCGGCAGGAGCGGTAGCGTACTCACGGAGGCGATCACGGGCAACAGGGGATGATGGGGCAGATGCAGAGGTGGAAGCAGAAGCACCGACTGACTGACTCTCTTGCTGCTCTCTCTTCTTGCGAGCTACTTCCAGGTTCTCGCGAAACTCCTTCTGACGTGCAACGAACTCTTCAGTTGAGTCGGGGGTGATGTCCCGAATGGAGGGCGCGCGGTGGACAGGGGCAGATGTGTGGAATGATCGAACCAGCGAGGACGCAGGCCGGAAGACTCTTGGGGTAAGCATGGCTAAGATGGATTCAAATGCGGTGTAGTCTCAACAAGCAACCAATACAGAGAAGTTGGGCAGATTGTAAAACAAAAAACAGCGAAGAAAGCGGGAAGGCGCGGTGCTGATTCAGAATGTCGGCAAACGGATACAAATGAGAAGCAGGGAAGAAGGGATCAACACCTATCCCGAGGTGGTAAATGAGCACAAGGGTGGAGGGGGTTTGAAGAGAGGGGAATATAGAGGACAAGGAGCAGGGATGGGATGGGATGACACGAGATGCAACAAAGCGGCCAAACGGCTGAAAGGGAGGTGCAACACAGCAGCAGTAACAGACGGAACCAGTAAGGAAGCAGCTCGCTCAGAGACCAGGATCAGCAGAGTGAGCTTCGATCGTCAAGAAGTTGGCTCTTCCCCAGAGTAACAGTCAAAGCTCATCCACGGGTAGTGGGAAGACAAGGTGCAGTGATAATTAACACACCAATGGCGATGGATGGGATGGAAAGAGGGGAGAGATTTGAGGGGAGAGTGAAAGCTGCAACGGGAGCTTGCCTCGAGCCAATGTGCGGGGAAGGAGTCTAGTGTCTTAGCTGCAGTTGTCCTCCAGGTTGACAATTTCGGTTTTGCGTCAAACAAAGTCGCTGCGAGGGGATCTCAGTGTCTTATATGGCCATTGTGCGACCCGTTAATAATAATTAGCAAACGAATCCAAGTTGAGATTGAGATTCTCCCCCTACATTCGGCAGATGGAGCTGTGTTCTGGTGATCCCCCGTCCAGCTCCTTCCCCATATCTATGACGACATTGACGGCTTTTGAAAAACTGGCTAGATGTACAGGTCACTTTTGGTCTATAAAAAAAGGATCGCCCTGTGTAAATAGACAGCTTGCGCGTTCTGGTCACGCGGGTTGTGGCCTCCTTTAGCAGCTGTTCCAGCTCCTGAAGTCATACCTGCGAAGGAAGACCGATTTACAGTATAATGTCAATCTTGCCTAAAATTGGTTTCTTTGAGGCTGGCCTGGTGCAGACTTGATGTGTAGTTGTTTTGGAGACTCGCCACTGTCGCACAGTTATTGGGTGTCGCAGCAAGATTGCCGCGACAGAATCAATTGCAAAAATAACTTGAATTCGTGGAAATAAAGTCTATTCTGCTGAGTTTGGTGTCGCTATGTCTTGTTCATTCTCGTTCGATCTCGATAAGCTTAGCAGCGCTACCATGTAGTTTCGTCGAGCAAAGGTACCCGGAGAGCATCCGACCGAATCAGGGAACGCCGGAAATTGCGGTCTTGGGTCGTTGGTCGCCACCCCATCATGAAGTAATCGCCCCTCCATCCGGACGCAAACTGGAGAGAAGAGTTGACACGACAGGATGCCCTCCGCGCAGCTGCCTCCCAACTCATTCAACCCCCGACCAGACACTATGAGTGACTCTTTAAACCCCCCTCTCTCGTACGAGGCCTCTGCCACAACTACTCATCGCCATGTTGCAACTACCCTCCCGCCGGAGGTCTCGTCGTGCCTCAAAAACACCCGCTTCGTATGTCCAGCCGATGCGTTTTAGTGACCCATCTTACCTGTCTGCTAATACCAACGCTTTTTATACAGCTCCATCTAGCAACATGTGATGGCCTTACTCCCCACATTTCTCTCATGTCCTATACGTACTTAGCCTCCACGCCTTTCGATCCGTACCCCACAATCATCATGACGACCAATTCATCTTCGCGAAAGACCACCCACTTGCAAACCAACCCACGAGTCTCACTTTTAGTACATGACTGGGTGTCACACCGTCCGCCTACCCGAGCGCCGAATCCTGAGGCTACTCGCGACGGCTCGCCACCACCCGCGGCAACCCGGTCATCTCTGGCTAGTCTACTTCTGAATTTAAATACGAGTGCTTTATCCAGCATCTCTACCACAATCACGGGGGAGGCGCGATTTTTGGATTCTGGTTCCGAAGAAGAGACGTGGTGTAAAGAGAGGCACTTGGAAAACAATACGTTCGAGGAAGAAATGAGCACGTTTGGCCAAGCACAACAGCCTGGACAGCGTCGACCCAGTATTTCTATCGACGATGATGTCCGGGTTGTCACCGTCCGAGTACGTGAAGGCAGGCTTGCTGACTGGAAGGGAGGTGTGAGGGACTGGCTTGTTGTTCCGGAGGGAGGAGAGTCCTCGGGCGATGGCCTTGCAAATGGCGTGGTGCTTTGATAAAGTCGGCTATGGTATTTCGATATGTATTTCAGGTTTTGCCGGAGCTAGAGGGGCATCGAGGCTTTGGGAGCATTGCGGGTTTAAACGCGTTCATGTTTGATTATGAGGACAAGTCATGGACCACGAAGTTCTTTCCAAATCTATTCCGTATGTTTCCGCATGCGCTTCAAGATTCCTGCACAAATTCAACCTAGCCAGTTTGCAAAAACCGTGGAACAAGCAGCATCCCGATTGTAAAATTGATTTGAATATTGATTGGCATCCATCGTTCAAGCTTATCACATGATTCGATGCCAGTGACGTACTGTAGATTGTTCCAAAGTACGCCCGCATCTCCAACAAACATCGCACATCTCCAACTCTCAATTACACCAATCGCACTGGCCATTGTACATTAATGCACAGATCCAATTTTCAGCCACCCTCGTCCCTATCTCGCCTACAGCCGCGAAAACCAACCAGGTCTACAAAGAAAAACAGTGCAATCCCAACTCCCATCCAGAACCATGCGGCTCGCCCACCTCCACTTCCCCGGCATAACCTCCTTCACCCGCGTCGCAAACCTCCAACAGTCCCTCACAACCCGTCTCCTCACACACAAGAAGCTTGTCCAGTCCCCCAACGCCTCAACACCACTACCACCTGACCCAACGATAATAACTTTCACCCCGAACCCAGTTTACACAACTGGCCGCCGCGACCTCCCGCCATCAAACACCTCGCCTTCCGCCTCAAAAACTCTTTCCCTACCTCCCGATCTTGAGCCGATACGCTCTCTTTTCTCCAAAAAATCACAGCATAATAATGACTCCCCGATAGCAGAATATCATCCAACCCTGCGGGGTGGGCAGACAACGTACCATGGGCCTGGGCAAATGGTTGCATACACCATTCTCGATCTACGGCGACTAGGTCTAACGCCGCGGTGCCATATTCGGCTATTGGAGAATAGCGTTCTTGATGTACTAGCGGGGTATGGCATTGAGGGGGCTATAACTGAAGACCCAGGGGTTTGGGTGCCCTCCCGGTCAGGCAGTGAGCAGCTACCCAGAAAGATCACAGCAGTTGGTGTTCATTTGAGGAGGAATATCAGCAGCTACGGGCTAGGATTTAATGTCACGGAGGAGCCGATGTGGTATTTCCAGCAGATAGTGGCGTGCGGGCTTGAAGGGAGGGAAGCGACAAGCTTGCAGGGGCAAGGAGTGAATGGTGTCTCTGTTGAGGAGGTAGCCGGGAAGTTTGTTGATGCGTTTGTGCGGAGGGTAAATAGTGACTTTGCTTGCGGGGGGAGCGCTTCAGGGGAAAATATTGATGAGGTTTACAGGGTGGAGGAAACGGACCTAGTAGATTAACTACACTTTCGGTGCGTTGTCGAGTGTAAGTTTGGAATGGGGCTGGTTTGTAGATTTACTGAGATGTTACAGTAGAACGATACTAAAGGATACACAGTACATTGTACTAATAGTTAAACAACCTTGGGTAGAAATGCGTACATGCAATGGGTACGCGTACACTGTCCAACAAAACAAAGAAAACAACTCGCTGCGTCCGACCAGTAGATGTGGTAATGGAACGGAAGCAATAGATAAAACAGGCAGTAGCAAATTGAGGCCGTATAAAGCGTGGTGATTGGATCAGCACGCTGAAGGTGAAACCTATCTCGATAATTGTTCTCGAGATGGGAAATTAAGACATTAGAATGGTGGTGTATCTAGGATGTCGAACTTATATACAACGAAGGGGATAGAAGCAAGTGAAAGAAAAATAAAATAAAATTGCAAAGGCTGAAATGCTGATTGCTGAGTCGTGAAGTAGTAGCGTCTCTGGGGCACGAGTAATGAAAATAAGCATTGTCGGGATAATATGTTGAGGCCAACGGGTATATAAAATGGTTCAAGGCAACATGTGATAGAGACGCGATCACTGAATGATACAGCGGCTCTGCGATACGCTGGCATTCTGTGCCTTCACCTCAAGGGCGACTTTGGCGGCTTCGTAAAAGGCCTCTCTGATGCCACGATTTTGAACAGCAGAGCACTCTGTCGAGTAATTAGACCATCCCATTCCTGGGCTCCTTGAAACTGTAGAATAACTTACCAAGGTACTTCACGGCTCCGATCTCCTTTGCCTTTGCCAGTCCTTGCTCGTACGAGATAACATTGGGGTTATCATTGAGGAATTCGTCTTTTCGCAAGTCACACTTGAGGGCTGTGAGAACCAGTTTCACTCCGGGGACGTTCTCCGAGATCTCCTCGATCCATTTGCTCGCCACATTCTCGAACGAATCGGGGCTGTCGACCTATGTTCCACAAAGATTTAGCCACGAGGCTTAGTATGTTGAGTGGCAACCTTACACTGAAACACAGCATTATGACATGCGTATCCTCATAGGATAGCGCGCGTAACCGATCGAATTCTTCTTGTCCAGCTGTATCCCATAGCGATAATTCCATGTGCACGTTGTCGACGAAGATGTCTTGCGATTATGAGTACCTTTCAAAGAAAAGTTGCGAGGAGGGGAAATACCATGGACATAATTCTCTGCGAAGCAAAAGTCAGCATCATCTCAGCATGTTGCCTGAGGGAGGGGCATACGAACCAAAAACAGTCGGTTCACTGTGTCGCATTGCTGCGGTTAATGCAAGAACAGATATTAAACGAAGGGGGAGTCTCACTAGACCGTTGGGAAGTACCTAAACGACAAACGTCAGTATATCGCATGTTAAATGTATTGAATACAGGAGATAGCTTACCCTCTGGTGAACACGTTCAAGGCTGAGGTTTTACCACAAGCACCGTCTCCTCTGGACCACTGTTAGAAGGCAAGAGCCAATATTTTCACGGTTTATTTGTATCACTGACAGCAGCACCATCTTGCGCCGAACAACTTTCTGGCGTCCACAGAACTCCATTTTGTCGGCGCGGTATTCGAAGGTGGGATCGGATTCGAGGAAATGCGAGAAGTTCCAGGGGGGGGGAGCGTGTTTGCGAAAACGGCGAGAACGCTGGCGGTATAGTTACGCGGCTATATAGGAAGGATGCAGTCGGATAGTATAGTGGTCGTAAAGCGTGTGAAGAGGTGACTTGGTGCGAATATGAGATGTCAGTGAAGGAGTGAAGAAATGGTGAAGACTGCGCCCCAGTCGTGGGCCGTGGAGGGTCGATGTCATCGGCCGAAGTTACCAAAGATTCCGGCGAATAGGATGATCGTCATCTGCCAAGCTGTCGCAAGATTTCGCTTCTTCCGGTGCCTGAGCCAGAGCAACCCTCGATCAGGCGGATATCATTATTCGATTCGAGCGGTCTTCGAACCGATTTCTCAGGATCTGGATCTCTCTTCTTGGTCCTTTGTAGGGTGCGATCATTTTATCGATCTCTTAGGCTTGCTCCACACCGTGGTGCCTTGCCTCCACCATAGCGTCGCGCCCTCGCCTCACTCAGCCATCCTGACCCTGTGGATTAATAGATCATCATCAATAGAGCATGCCAGGGGTTCTTCTGGCTCGGAGTTGTTTTAACACAGATGTAATCATCCGCAGGGTCTCTGGGTTTGATGGTACGTAATGGACGTGGCGGAATCGCGGCCCGGACCTAGAGTGTGCGTTTCGATATATATTTGCAGTTGCCGCGTAACAAGTCATAATTGCGCTCACTCAGTTGGCAACATGAGGTGAGCTCCAAACACCACCAACCAGGGAAGGATAGGCCTGAATAGAAGTTGAGGCCCTCAGCCGGTCTTGATTGTTTCTTTCATTACTATTGCTTAAAAATGTAACGTTCACAAAGCGCCCTGTGTTGTTGGACCCACACGAGGCTCGAAGAAGGCGGGGGCAGGAAGTTGCTGCCCCAGGCGCTGAATTGCTGATAGGCGCGGCGGGAGCTTCCAGTTCAGTTCACAGTTCACAGCTCACAGCAACACCAAGTCCTCGCTTATCAATACCACCGGGCTCCATTTCTTATTCGGATTATAGACCTAGAAATTATTCACATACCCTGCTGTGCCGTTATCTGCTCCCCTACACATTCTCAAGTCGCCCAAGATGTCGGATGACGATGATTTTATGCACGACTCTGATGAGGAGTAAGTACCGCCCGCCACGGCTCGTTATGAACAGCCAAAGAGCTCGTCTCACACATTTTGTTGCTAGATACGACTTTGAATACGAAGATGCGGACGAAGATGAGGCAGGAGACATCGGAATTGAGAATAAATACTACAATGCCAAACAGATCAAGGTGGATAATCCGGAGGAGGCCATTGATGAATTCTTGGGAGTACCTGCTCTGGAACAGGACAAAGGAGATTGGTATATATATATACTCTCTTCGGAAGCCGGAATCTGGATGCTGATGACTCTTAGGGGTTTCAAAGGAATGAAACAGGCAATTAAGCTGGAGTTTAAACTCGGGAGATATAGCGATGTAAGTTGGCCCTTGCCATGCTCTCTTCCTTCTGTTTACTTAGGCTGACTACCTAGGCCGTTGAACACTATAGGGAACTCTTAACATACGTCAAATCGGCAGTTACGCGAAACTACTCGGAAAAGTCGATAAACAACATGCTCGATTATATCGAAAAAGGATCAGATGACGACAAGGCGTACCAGTGCATGGAAGAATTCTATTCTCTCACCCTCAACTCCTTCCAGAACACAAACAACGAGCGGTTATGGCTTAAGACGAATATTAAACTGGCCCGCCTGTGGCTGGAACGAAAGGAATATGGCCAGTTGAGCAAAAAAGTCCGAGAGTTACACCGGGCTTGTCAGAGGGAAGATGGTTCGGATGACCCCAGCAAGGGCACATATCTACTGGAGCTGTACGCGCTAGAGATTCAAATGTACGCCGAGACGAAGAACAACAAGCGATTAAAGGCACTCTACCAGCGTGCTCTCCGCGTGCGGTCGGCGGTACCCCACCCTAAGATCATGGGGATCATCCGAGAATGCGGAGGCAAGATGCACATGAGCGAGGAGAACTGGGAAGAGGCGCAGAGTGACTTTTTCGAGTCCTTCCGGAACTACGACGAGGCGGGATCGATGCAACGGATCCAGGTGCTCAAGTATCTTGTGCTGACCACCATGCTGATGAAATCGGATATCAATCCTTTCCATTCGCAAGAAACGAAGCCGTACAAGAACGACCCCCGCATCTCTGCTATGACTGACTTGGTGGATGCTTTCCAGAGAGATGATATCCACGCTTATGAAGCTGTCCTCAGCAAGAACCCGGACGTTCTGGCCGACCCCTTCATAGCAGAAAACATCGATGAGGTCAGCCGGAATATGCGGACCAAGGCCATTCTTAAATTGATCGCCCCGTACACCCGGTTCACGCTCAACTTCATCTCAAAACACATTAAGATTTCGGTTACAGAAGCACAAGACATCCTGAGCTTCCTAATCCTCGACAAGAAACTAAACGCCAAGATCGATCAGGAAAGTGGCACAGTCGTGGTTGAAAGTGCAAGTGATGTGGACCGACTGCGGTCCCTGGACGAGTGGAACGAATCCCTACGAGCGCTCTGGCGAGTGACTTTGAACGATGGCGATGGATTCAAAAACGACGATGTTTCGCAGATGACCGGCATGGGGTTGAGAGGGCCCTCACTCTACCAATCGGCCTTTGACGATGATGTTGCTCCTGCAGGTCTCCTACGCCCCGGCGGCCACCGATTCCGGAGAGGGGGAAAGGGCAGCAAAGCAGGACACGGTGTCAAGGCTGGCGGTTCGGGGCTGTTTTAGGCGGGGGCAATTAATAGACAGGGAAGCAGGAAAAGAAGGACACGGATTTTGTACGAGAGCCAGTAGCGGTACTACCTTTCTCGTACTTGGTAGCTGGCCGAATCATGGGATTGCAATTGACCAGAATCCCTGATGGCCGCGCGCCTGCATAAACTGGAAGAAGATATCGTTATTGAATCATTCATCCTGCTGTGTGGTGTTGTACCGTGTCCGCAGTGTACATACAGTAATACGTACGAATGTACTGCGTGTTCTCAACTTTCCTCACACACCGGGAGAGTTGAGAGTTGAGACTTTGTACCAATGGTGCAAGCGTTGACACTGCATGCTGCACAATGAATGAATCCGCAGCTCCTAATGACCTGTAGGAACCCACCAACGGGCGGAGGAAGCGTGAATTGCCTGTCCGTTTGCTTTCGCAAGTCACAGAACGATAAAATAAACCACGCTCATTCGTGGGGATGAGATGCATGGTCAAAAACACGACAATCGAGGCTGCAGCTGTAGACTGGTGGGACTACTCTGCTGGAAACTGGAAAAAGGAACGAGTGGAGGGCGATATTACCTCCCGGATCCTTGGATTCCATTATTTCATTCCAATTATTTGTTCTCCATTCTGCGGCGTGCGCAGTCTCCAGCTCCGTGATACGGTGATACCACCCTTCGGTACTGTACTCTTGTAGAATGCGCCAAAGGTACCAAATGTACTTTTTTTCTAAGACTTCTTTCTTCCCTTTTAATTTCTTTCTTTCTTTTTTGAACCTAACTGGCCAGCAAACAACCTGTCCCCAGAAGAAGAAATATTCGGAAGACGAGTCCAGTCGGCTATTGATTGCCAGGACACCTCAGCAATCAACATTTTAACGATGTTGACGCTGCTGCCAAGGAAGGCGGGTCGAGCATGTAACATTGCAAAATACCCCATCGGATGTGGAGTGTGCATTGTGGGCAATTGACAATTGGCGTCCTGCCATCGAATGGTTTCCGTCTGTCTCCATTTTGGCACGAACGCCTCCGATTGTTCTTCTCCAAATTGAAGATGGCGGTCACCCTCCCGAGTGCGCCAAACCGCGACGTTTGAAGTGGACCAAGATAAGAATAGGTACTTACGGCGAATCGCGGATGGGGAAAGCTCCTCAACGTTCCAGCGCTGAGAAATTGGAGCTGCGCGAGCCGAGAGGGGAGAAGGTGTTGGTGCATGATGATCAGCCGTCTCAGTCAAACTAATGCTACGGTGTACCCGTCCCGTCCGTTGCGTTGCTGTCCACTTTCCTTTTAGCTAACGCTTCAAAATTTCACGGCCCCGAGGTAGACGAGAGAACAATCCTCCTGTTTGGGCGTCGTCTCTGGCATTATTTGGATCGGAACCTGAGACCCGCGAGCATAAATTTCTGTACTGTACCTTTGCTTGCGCGAATATTGAAGAGGCAGAGATCTCCGTTGTAGCAAATAAAACCAGCCATCTGTGATCGACGCCCAGCTGTATGTAAAAACGACTAAAAGGCGGGAATAAGCAAAAACTCCCGGGATAAACCGAGGCGCCACAGTCCATTGAGTTGTTCCAAGGTACGATCGGAGTTGCTGTCGCGGATTCCTCAAGCTGAGTGAAAGAGCCCAAGCAAAAATGTACATGCTAAACGAATAGGAAACGGGATGTTCCTCGTATGCAAGCCCGAGGACGAAGGAAAAGAAAGTATTGATACAGGCAGGTACAGGATACGGGCGGCGATGGTCATAGGGTGATGAGACACCTGTCCGTCGTTTGCATATTTTTTGACTTAAACTTGAGTAAAAAGAAGAATGGTTCGGCCGGGGTTTCCGAGGTGGCATATGCAAGGTGTTTCTAGCTGGATCGAATCTCAAGACCTCAGCTCCCGTCGGTTTGTCGACAGGGAGCAAGGACCGATTTGCTCTCAACAACGGGAAATTTTATCCAGAGTCCCAGACAGATTACTGTGGGTGCCCACGAGGATGGCAATTGGCAAAAAATGTTGGAGTTACCCAGCAGAACGGTCCAGAGACAGTGCCACTGTTGTCTGATCCCGCTCCATACTAGGATTGGTTATAGCCGGAGATCAAATGGGGTCTGGTGGTGAGTGCAGCGAGAAAGGTTTGATGGGCGAATTGACTGTTGAGCTTGAGCGGATGGTTTCACGTTGCTTTCTTTGAGCAATGTATGACTATTGAAAGCCTTGCGCCGTCATTTAGTCTGTTCGCTAGCTCGGTGACGAAGAGAGCTAACGAATGTCAAAGAAATCCGTTGATTCTCAACC